ACACAAATTCTTATATATGCTAGATGATCAACCTTTTCTGGTCGATTCCACACCGTTTCTTTCACAATGCAATCGCAAAACCAGAACTCAACTTCATCTTTTAGTCGATTCAATAACTAATAGTCGTTATTTTCCCACTTAAAGACATTTTCAAGCCCCCTTTTTTTTTCGGAAAGTTCTAAATTAATATTGTCTTTCAAATGCTGTTGGAATTTAACCTTTTCATTTTTGGGGCCTGCAAATGGGTCATAGTACCTTTAAAGTTCCAGATATGTGTAAAACGTATTCCATTAGCAAATAATGAAATACTCAACTTTGCCTCTGAAGAAATAAAAATTCTTCATAGTTACGTGACATATTCTTTTTGTCAATACTCCTCTTTGAAAGTCCATTGGCAAAGTGATTTTGAGAATTTTAGTGGATATCTGAATTTAAAGTGAATTTTGATGTGGAATTGGGAAATCTTAATGAATTTTGATATTTGGAATCTCCTCATAGTTTATGAATTTCAAAGTTTAAATTCATCCAATGTACAGAAACCCAAGTGCTTATTGTCGATGAATATACAGTGTACTCGCAACTTTGCCAGCCAATAGATATTAGCAGTCGTCAAGTTTAGGTGATATAATTTTGTTTTGTCAATACTCCTCTTTGAAAACCCATCGGCAAAGTGATTTTGAGAATTTTAATGGATATCTGCATTTAAAGTGAATTTTGATGTGGAATTGGGAAATCTTAATGAATTTTGATATTTGGAATCTCCTCATAGTTCATGAATTTCAAAGTTTAAATTCATCCAATGTACAGAAAGCCAGTGCTTATTGTAGATGAATATACTCGCAACTTTGCCAGCCAATAGATATTAGCAGTCGTCAAGTTTAGGTGATATAATTTTGTTTTGTCAATACTCCTCTTTGAAAACCCATCGGCAAAGTGATTTTGAGAATTTTAATGGATATCTGCATTTAAAGTGAATTTTGATGTGGAATTGGGAAATCTTAATGAATTTTGATATTTGGAATCTCCTCATAGTTCATGAATTTCAAAGTTTAAATTCATCCAATGTACAGAAAGCCAGTGCTTATTGTAGATGAATATACTCGCAACTTTGCCAGCCAATAGATATTAGCAGTCGTCAAGTTTAGGTGATATAATTTTGTTTTGTCAATACTCCTCTTTGAAAATCCATTGGCAAAGTGATTTTGAGAATTGTAATGGATATCTGCATTTAAAGTGAATTTTGATGTGGAATTTGGAAATCTTAATGAATTTTGATATTTGGAATCTCCTCATAGTTCATGAATTTCAAAGTTTAAATTCATCCAATGTACAGAAAGCCAGTGCTTATTGTCGATGAATATACTCGCAACTTTGCCAGCCAATAGATATTAGCAGTCGTCAAGTTTAGGTGATATAATTTTGTTTTGTTAATACTTCTTTTTGAAAATCCAACGGCAAAGTGATTTTGAGAATTTTAATGGATATCTGCATTTAAAGGGAAAGTCCACCCCCAAAATAAGTTTGTTTCGATAGAGGCAGAATAATAAGAAAATCAGGTGAGTGAAAGTTTGAGCAAATTCTGAATGAAAATAAGAAAGTTATGAATTATTGAAGTTGTGATCAATCAAATACAAATTGGCAACTCTGTGACTTATTATACGAGCTCTCCTTCATTTGCTTTGTGCATAATATTCCATAAAATCATGTTTTCTTCGTTATTGATGACGGAATATATATTTGTTCCTTGCAGGGGGAGTATAGAAACATATTTGCAATTATTATATTTAGGGTGCATGTATGGTTGAAATTTTTCTTGAGGGAAAATGAAAAATTTAGATTTTTTTAGTACTAAGCAAATGGAAGTTGAGCTCGCATGATACGTCATAGAGTTGCCAATTTGTGTTTGATTGATCACAACTTAAAAAATCCTAACTTCCTTATTTTTAATCGGAATTTGCTCAAACTTTCACTGACTTGTTTCTCTCATTTTTCTACTCCTATTAAAACTAACTTAATTTCAGGGTGGACTTTCCCTTTAAAGTGAATTTTGATGTAGAATTGGAAAATATTAATGAAGTTTGATATTTGGAATATCCTCATAGTTTATGAATTTCAAAGTTTAAATTCATCCAATGTACAGAAAGCCAGTGGTTATTGCCGATGAATTTACTCGCAACTTTGCCAGCCAATAGATATTAGCAGACTGTATCTTCCAACCAAATATAAAAAGTGACTTGTTAATGTGTATATACTTACAGTGTTTAAGTGACAACCAGTTATTTATAGGCATCTGGAGCAGTATTCTGAAAATTGTTATACCGTAATAGTTTTTTGTAAAATTTTGCTGTATCTTTCCTCTCATCTCTTTAGCCCATGCTCACTTCAGCTGCTCATGTTATCCATATTTTGTAATGTTTGAATTAGACAAGGAAAATGTTGATAAAAGTGTTACTTGTAATTGTTACTTCAAGTGTTATTAAATTGCATTTCTGTTGTTGTGTGCGGTTTATAGTGATATGGTGTTTTTTTATACATTTAATACTTGGTGACATGTAGTGAATTCTAAAGACACATGGAACAAGTCTTTTTAGGATTAAATTATCACAAGCAGTTCGTAGTGAGATCAATGGTCACATAAATAGTTTTAATTCTTTTTAGATGGAAGTAATTTTATCTTGACTTTAAAAAAAATGATATATAGCATTGTATGCAATACATTATGACAAGCTCCTTGGCTTTTCATTGGTTCCTCCACAGCATTGGAATATTATTGCATTACCTGTATTATAAGTGTGTGATGTTTCTATTCAATGAGGAAAAAAGATAAATCAATTTTTTGGTCATTCAGAAGTCACACTGTTCAGTTGTGAGGTCCAAAGACGCAGAAATAAATAGTTTTTGGACATCAAGTTTTTTAGGCACACAAGCCTTAATTTTCTTGACTTGGACAGGGTAGCTGATCGTCTTTTCTGCCACACAAGCCTCAATTTTCACGACTTAGGCGGATAAATGATGTGTTTTTGCGGGACACAAGCCTTAATTTTCCTGACTTGGATAGAGGTAGACAATAATGTCTTTTGGGCATGCAAGCCTTAATTTTAATTTTAGAAACCAGTCTCAACACATATTGTATTAAAAAACACACAAGATGCATTTTCATTTAGTTTTAGACAAACACACAAGATGCATTTTCATTTAGTTTTAGACAAACACACAAGAAGTTGGGAATTAAGACACACAAGTAGTCTTTAGAAGGAAAAAATGAAAAGACACACAAGATACCCCTTTTTTCAGACACACAAGACAAAAATCTCACAAGCATACTGTCGTGAGTAGTACCGTCCGTCCGTCCGTACCTACGTCCGTATGTTCCGTTCTCGTGATCACGTTATCTGAAGAACCGATTGATGGATTCCTGCCAAACTTTGGTCATGTATGTATCTTGCAGAGCCGATGAACTGATTAGATTTTGGGGTCACGAGGTCAAAGGTCAGAGGTCACAGGGCTCATTATGTATGCAAAAACAGCTCGTGATCGCGTTATCTGAAGAACCATTTGATGGATTCCTGCCAAACTTTGATCATGTATGTATCTTGCAGAGCCAATGAACTGATTAGATTTTTGGGTCACGAGGTCAAAGGTCAAAGGTCACAGGGCTCATTATGTATGCAAAAGCAGCTCGTGATCGCGTTATCTCAAGAACCGATTGATGGATTCCTGCCAAACTTTGATCATGTATGTATCTTGCAGAGCCAATGAACTTATTAGATTTTTGGGTCACGAGGTCAAAGGTCACAGGGCTCATTTTGTATGCAAATACAGCTCGTGATCGCGTTATCTCAAGAACCGATTGATGGTTTCCTGCCAAACTTAAGTCATGTATGTTACTTGCAGAGCCGATAAATTGATTAGATTTCGGGGTCATGAGGTCAAGGCCAAAGGTCATGCGTCTCATTATGCATGCAAAAATAGCTTGTGATCGCATTATCATTAGAACAGATTGATGGATTCCTGCCAAACTTAGATCATGTATGTATCTTGCAGAGCCAATGAACTGAGTAGATTCTTGGGTCATGAGGTCAAAGGTCAAAGGTCATGGGCTCATTATGTATGCAAAAATAGCTTATGAACGCATTCTCATTAGAACTGACAGATGGATTACTATTTAACTCAGGACATCTTGCAGAGCCAATGAACTGAGTAGATTTTAGGGTCATATATGTATATGAGAAATTGCTTGTAATCACGATATTCTGAGAACCTGTTAATGGATTACAATTGAACTTGAATTTGAAAAATTTCTTCTGTTTTGGTTTGTAAAATTGCTCTATGACGGAGGCATCATTTTCGACTGCACGCAGTCGAAGTTCCATCTAGTTTTCTTTATTTTTTTCTTATTTACATTTTTGTGGTACTTTTGGGTATTTTTTTTATCTACTTGAAATTCTATGCAGGTCCCCTTTATTTATATTTATTTATTTATGTATTTATTTATTTTGTTACTTTTTATTATTATTATTTTTTTAAATATAAATAAATATATATATATATATATATATATATATATATATATATATATATATACATTTTTTTTAAATTATTATTATTATTATTATTATTATTTTTTTTTTTTTTTTTTTTTTTTTTTTTTTAATTTATTTATTTATTTATTTTATTTTTATTTTTTTTTTTTTTTTTGGGGGGTTAGATCCCAGGCTTTAACTGAATTGTGCAACTAGTAAAGATATAAACCATATAGTAGATGCTGATGAGTCATAGTTTTTTATGCAATATTGCTGTTGAACATAATATAAAGTATCTACTATCTAGTGAAAAGCAATTGGGATTGATGATCTTTCATTGCATATTTCCAACAAAAAAAGGAAATTATTAAATTTCTTTCAAAAGTGATTTCATTGAAAGCATCTTGATGATTTAAAAAAAGGTACACTAATCATTTTATGAAGTTGACATAAATGATCTCTTGTCCATCCAAACAGATGTTTCTGAATGACTATGACGTAATCCCATTAGAAGCCTTGACCTATCTCACCGGAGAGTGTAACTACGGTGGTCGAGTGACGGACTACCACGACCGTCGTCTGTTAATCAGTCTTCTGGCAATCTTCTACAATGATCAGATTGTTAAGGAGGAAGGGTACAGCTTCTCAGAGAGTGGCAACTATCGCTGTCCACCTTCTGGTCCTCACGAATCATACACGGAGTACATCAAGAGTCTTCCTCTGATGCCACACCCAGAGGTATGCAGGATTTTAATTCTTAAATTTTATTGGCTTCATACGGAAATATCTGACTCGTTCGGCAACAGAGAAACTTGTTCACTCACTTATTTCTTCATGTTTGGATTTCGGCAACAGTTTACTTTATAATTTACCAAATTCACAAATTGCACAGTTACAAAAACTACAAAACGCAGCTGCACGCATCATTTCTCTGTCAAGCAAACATAGTCACATTAAACCTATCTTACAAAAATCTCCATTGGTTGCCTGTAAGAGAATGTATAATTTTCAAAATCCTTTTAGTTCATCAAACCATGAACAGAACAGCTCCTGAATACAACCAGTCTTTAGTTCACCTCTACCAACCCACACGTACCCTCCGATCCTCCAACTCTGGTCTTCTACACCGCTTTCAAAGAAATCTTGGGGGGAACGAGCTTTTGCTCATGCCGGACCAGCCCTGTGGAATTCACTTCCACAAGAGCTGAAGAACTCTGATTCTTCAACATCTTTTAAGAGCAATTAACCTTAAATCCCATTTGTTTAATTTTGCGTTTTGAAGACAGACATTCATTCATTCTTTCATTTTTACATTTTCTTTCTTATGTAAATATACATAATTCTTTGTCATGATGTAATGTGTTCCTTAATATTTTAAAGCGCCTTGAGCATTTAAATAAAATGGATAATGGCGCTATATAAATCTCATGTATTATTATTATTATTATAATTTAGCAGGTTTACCCAGACTTTGGTATTCTTCTCAGAAAGACGTGATCAAAGGAAAATAACTATGTACCTAGACTAAACAATACCCAGACTTATCAGCATTAAACATGTAAATTATTCTTTACAGGTGTTTGGTCTTCATGAGAATGCAGACATTACCAAGGATCAGAAGGAAACTCAACAACTGTTTGATGGAATCCTTCTTACACTGCCTCGACAGGTATGTCATTATTCATCATACCCCATCCATGGTTGGAAGAAAACAAATTCTAGAGAAATAGTACAAATGGCAACAACAAAAAAGAAGAGGGAAAAGAAGCTATAAAGTAACAAAGCATTCAACACCAAAAAAAAATGTGCCCATCTGCAAGTCATAAGAAAAAATGATGTGAAAGGAAAAAATACAAATAATTCATTTAAAGTTGTTAAATTCTTGAGTTAACTCATGATATGCTTTTTAAATGATTAAGATATTTTTTTTGAAGTTCACCAAAAATGACAATTTGTATATTCATAACATTTCTTGCATCTCATGTTTTTAGCTAAAAACAAATTGTAAAGTGAAATATTAAACATTGTGGTATCAAAAATTCATTTTACTTTGACGACATTGATTGCAATATACCTTTGTATGCTCTGGTGCTCACTGTATGCAAAACCAATATGTCTACATAAGCAGGGTTAGTTTTTTGTGTGTTTATGACGTAAACTTTAAAAAGATGAGAAAATGTAGCCTACAGATAAGTTAATGATCACATCCAGACTCTCATTTCTAAATTGCTTGTTGCTATGTAAAACTCTCATTGAGAAAGTTGGTTGATCATCATAATTTTGAGGCATACTTATTTTTTTTTTCCTTTTTTCTGTTTTCTTCAAATTTCTTTAATTGCTTTAAATGTTTATGCAGTCTGGAGAGGTATACAATCAGGATTTTTGCAATTTTTTCTTTTTTTCAATTTAACATTAATTTGACATTAATTTAACAGCAATTGATTGCACTACACGACACTATGATTTAATGCAGACAAACTGCCACTATTGTGGTAGCATAGTTTAAAGCCAGGTTTGCAGTGTGTTAATCCTTTTTCATTTCTAGCACGTGCATGATATTGAGTTCTGATAACTTATCTAATTACTGCAACTATTTCTATGCATCTGGGCCCTGTTTCATTAAACTTGTTATCAATAACAAGATACAATAATTGTTATAAGCTACTGAAATCCTTGCTTTTGATTGGTTAACAGCAGGTTTGTCATAGATCTGTGGCAGTTGTTTTTGATAACAATTTTTATGAAACAGAACCCAGTTTTTAATTCAGAAAGCAGGGTACTTTGAGAGAAGGTGTAAAACTGAGACATCCATATTATAATAATTGTTTCATCTTTGAAGCTCCAGCTCATTACATGTTAGTTTCACAGATATTTTGTTGTTACAAGTTCACAAGTCAAATTGCTGTTTCCGTAAGACATTAAACTAACGCAAGGAAGAACATTTCTTTGCAGGCTTCGGTGGTGCAAAATAGAAAAAGAAAGAAGAAAGTGAGTTTGTTAGCGGAGTATTATCGTCGTCATCATCACTGTTCTTGTCGTTTAGACATTTCATTTATAGTCATTCCACCACATTCAATATATCCACATGCATCGATATTCAGTTATATTCAGTCAAATGCAGCATTATTCGTGTATTTTCATAATTGATATCATAACCAATATTCAGTTTAATTGTTGGTACGTGTACAGTGCATCTCGAAAATCATTTCATTCATATTTATTCCACCATATCAAATATATCCACTTGCATCAACATTCAATATTTTTTTATTCAAATGCAGCATTAGTTGTGTAATTTCATAATTGATATTTCATACAATATTCAGTTTAATTGTTGGTACATGTACCGAGTACAATGTATATCTAAAATCACACTTGATAGATCCGAAAATCATGAAGTAAAAGGTACTATGGGTCATTTTTAAAATCATGTAGTATGTGCATAGAAGTGCAAAGCTCATTTACTCAAATAATGTTAGATTAAATGTCAGCGGCATTGTATTTGCAAAGCCAGACAAAGCAACTGCAAACAAACTAGATCATTTTATCCTGCCATTGCACTTTTTTAATAAAGAAAGGATTATAAAACCATTATGTTCATCTGTCTTACTCTTTGATCAGAGGGTCAGATGGATCTATCCAACACTGTGGATAAAAAAAAATTCAGTAGAAATCCTATATTAACCCTTTGATTACTGAATTCTGTCATTTCTATTGAACTTTGTACAGGGACAATCCTGTTCCTATAGGCAAAGGTTTAATTATCTTATAAATAATAGGCCTCTGTACATCTTAACCCCTGAATATGACTGGCTTTGAAAATAGAAATTGGAATGGGATGATGTATTTGAAGAGTATAAACTCTTCATGATCCTGTAATGTCATATTTTCAGAGTCACTTTTTTTTAACTTTCTAGTTTGAAGGTCTAATCAGTTCGGATCTAGAGTGATCTGACTGACCATGAACTAGTAGCTGACTTTGCTTTTAAAACAATGGGAGAGCTTAAAATATCTAGACACAATTTTGCAAGTGTGAAATTCTGTATCAAAGTCCAGTCATGAACACTTTTTAGTTTTAAGGTGTGTATACCTTTGTAATATGGCCTCGCACCATATCATCTTTCAAACTGAGTATGAAGCCTTGATTAACATACAATATAGCATGGTGTGATTTCATTGCATGATATATATATATATGAAAGGCATTTAGTTTTTCAATTCTGAGATAATTTCAGACTTATTAGAATTAGCCATGGAAGGCTTACAAACTATGCTGTGTGTGTTTTTTAACAATATGAAGAAGGTACATAGCATAGAGTACCTATATATGCATGTTTTCAGTGCACGTCACACTAACATTTGTAAAATTTCTTAGTTCAGATATTTAGAATCATATTTCTGCTTTATTTAAGCATGGTTTCTATCTCGCATGCGTAGAAGATATTCTCATTTCTACTTCTACTTCTTTGAATAGAATAATGTTTCATATTTATATATTGCATGCTAGGTTATTTCAATACAATCTTATTATCATGCATATGTACTCAATTTGAAGTTCACTTGATATAACATAATAAGATAAAGAAGAACACTTCTTATATCGATATCAAGGTATCTATATATATTAAACTTCTCATCTTTTTCAAAGCCAAACTCAGGCTTCTCATTTTGTATATTAAGGTTCTTTTATCAAACCTTATTTATCATCACCCTTACCAGTAGCTAGTGTGTGTGCTTGGAGTAATTTAGTTTCTAATTACTTATATTTTGAGTTTACTTCAATGCATCATAACAGGTGAGGTATGCCTTCATGTTGAGCATCTTTATGAATATCTTATTATGAATTGAAAGATCATTTGTTTAAACAAGTAGTAAACAACAATATTGTACCATAAAAATATATTGGAAGAGTATAACGACACTCTGAATGACTTCAAGGCAACATCTATTTCTCAGGCAAGAATTTGAAAGAGATCAAATGTTACTTCAACTTTAAATAGACAAGTATTATTAGCCTGTGTTGAACCCCAGATAATATATAATTTGAATTCTGAATCCTGGATTTTAAAATATATGGCATTGGAAAAACTTTGACATCTGTTCAGGTTAGAGTAGTGGAATGGATGTATGTGCTTGAAATGTGCAAGGAAACAAAGTCAGACATTGCTTGGATAAAGAAGCGTCCACTGGAGGATGAAGACAAAACACCAATATGTATCCATGGTGATGATTGTTGATGTCATCTTCATCATTAAAGATGTTGAGGAAAAAATATTACTAGAATTAAACAATCAATATTTTCCGTAATATATTTATAGGCATCAGGAGGGGAAAAGTCATCTCAACAAATCATTGAAGATCTGGCATCAGATATTTTATCCAAGATACCTCCCAACTACAACCTAGAGGAAGTGCAGGTGAGAGTTTTGTTTTTGTTTGTTAATTATAATAATATTCCACTTTTATATAGTGCTTAATACATCAACACTGTCTCTAAATGCTTTATAGATATGTTATTACCCTGGTCATTGGATTCAGGCTTGCCCTCACACAATGTATGCCCATTTTTTATTCCCTAGGGAGCATGCATTCCAGCCAGTCGTCATTTTACAGACCTCACAATGCTGAGCAAACTACATTAACTTTCGCATCCTACCGGGTACCCATTTAACACCTGGGTGGAGAGTGGCAAATGTAGAATAATGTCTTGCCAAAGGCTGGACGTAAGCGTCGGGCTGGGATACAAACGTATTTTAATACGTATATAACCAGGGGAATTCATACTCCAATAAAGACATATGTTTTGGTATCATTTAAATTGATTTGCTGTTAGTATATTGTAGGCAAGATTGAATCCATTGAAAGATGAAAAAAAGAGTGAATTAATGTAGGGTTAATACTAAATACTGCTAACTATTTAAGTACAGTTTGTGACTTTTTGCAGAGAATTGCTCATATTAGTGAAGAAAAAAAAACCCTGTACTTAATAATACACCATGCACTGCAGTGTAATTGATTATAAAATCATATTAAATATGCATACAATTATATGTGGTGAAGCAGTGCTAATTGTATGACCATTCATCTACATCAAGTTTGAAATAGGGGGGGGGGGTGAATTCATTAAATATATTTTTTTAACCTGTGAGATTGACAATTTTGTATATTTGATCATTTTCCTGCAGAAAAAATACCCAGTGCTGTATGAGGAGTCGATGAATACTGTCCTGGTGCAAGAGTTAATCCGTTTCAATCGCCTGATTGAGGTAGTCAGGTCCAGTCTTCAGGATATCCGCAAGGCCATGAAAGGATTGGTTGTCATGTCTGCAGAGCTAGAAGATGTCTTTGATAGTATGATGGTTGGAAAGGTATATACCTCGATCAAGAAACAGTGGCATGCATTTTGTTTGGTATTGTGATTGTTGTAATCAGTGTTGTGCAAAGCAATAGATTATACAGTTATCCTGCGTGAAGATGACTATGACTCCCGGCCCCCCGAATTTGAGGTCTGAGGGACCACATTCACGTTCCCCAAATCTCTGGTAGATGGGTACTTTTCACTCAACAAAGTCCGGCCCGTAATACACAAAAACCCGGCACGAATTGATTTTACACAACGGAGATGGGGGGGGGGGGGGGTGTCTACGCGTACCCTAAATAATAATGAGTTGGGGGGGGGGGTGGGCTGTGACTTGGGCTTTGAGAATTAAGATATGATGCACCACGCGTTACCCCGGGGTACCGTAGTACCCCGGGGTACCGCGTTGTGTAGCGCCATCTCGCATCCACTCGAGTACAATGTATGGAGTGCGTGTACATAGTTCCGTGGTATCTCTATGGTGTATACTATGCATGGTGTGCATGCATGCACTGCTCGCGCTATAGCGCTCGCTCACGATCACGATGGCTATCGCACACTATAGTGCTAGCTAGCTCCGGCGTCCGGTCCCGACCCGCAGCTATTTTAGAACTTGATGTTATTGCACGTACCTGTATACTCTTTCGAAAAAAAAACAACAAACAAACATCGCATCATCGACATAGTTAACGCGCGCGTTACTGTCAAACTTTCAAACTTTGAAAATGCCATGGGTGGAAGGTGATGGTGGATACGGGGATTTACTGAAAGGGAAAGGACGTAAAAGACGGAAGATAACAAGGGCCGACTGCTGACTGCTGTACACAGATAGCATCATAACACAAAATAGAACTTTCATTTATAATTAATAATTTTAATTATACCACAATAATAATACAGGGTGTATCATAACAGCATGAAATGATATCAATAATAGAATAATTACTCATAACAACAATGAATTTTAGAAATACAGGACTTAAAGGATTTTTTACAAGAACATTGGACACAATTGAAGGTTGAAAAAATCACACAAAAATAATTTCCCACTTTTTCGTAACCCAGGGTACAGCCTTAAAAAAAAAAATAATAATTCAACAAAATGGCCGAATTTTTTTTGGTACCCCAGGGTACCATTTATGTCATCATATAACATTTTAGCCCCTTTGTCCCAGTCTGTAAAAAAAATAAGCGAAATCAGACAGTAAACTTGCAAATGATATTATGAAATATTTGATTAATTGTTCTGCATATTATTAATTTTCTTTCTTGATAAACTCCTCCTTCTTAGGTACCAGGTATGTGGGCAGCCAAGTCTTACCCATCTCTGAAACCTCTTGGTAGCTACATCACTGATCTTCTGGCAAGATTACAGTTTTTCAAAGTAAGTAAAAGCAATTGATACACGTTCATACATAGTTTAAATGATATGTAAGAGAAAACTCCAGTATATCCATATCATATGTTTGATGGTTTCTTAGGCTGATATCATAGAGAACATTCAAGGAATTTAGTATATGTCATATATGTGATTTCATATATTTCCACAATCCAAATGTGGAACATTTTTACCTCCAAAAATGCATGGGTTGAGAAAGGCGGTTGTATGACTAAAAAGTTATTAAAAAGTATTAACCTGTTGAGTACTGAATTCTGTCACTCCCAAAGGTTTAATATAGGAGCTAACAGGTTCCAGTAGGCAAGGGGTTAACTTTTAAAATAAAGGATGCATATATGTTCACATCTTGGATTACACTTTGTCTCATAATTCACATTGCTTCGAAAATGCATGTACATTCATGCGTCATCACTGTTAATGTATTCTGACTCTCCTTTCTGTTTTCAATTGTAGGATTGGATACGTGATGGGATGCCTACAGTCTTCTGGCTGTCAGGTTTCTACTTCACACATTCCTTCCTGACTGGAACCATGCAGAACTTTGCTAGACGATACAAGATCCCAATCGATCAGTTACTACTTGACTTTGAGGTCATGAAGAATGAGAGTAACATGGATTCTAAACCAGTAAGTGAATTACAAATTAGTCTTTTTGCAGTAGTTTCTTAGCTATGTTTTTCAAAGTCCACTTACAATATAATGCAGGCCTCACAATATATTTTCCCTCTAAAAGAAAAAACGCAGTTTCTCATTTAAACAAATTTTTGTAAGGCAGATTCTGATTTCAATCCAGTCTCTTGCGATCTTAGCCGGTGCTTCTACTTAACTGAGCCATGATAAGTGTATTTTTTTGCAGGGTGACGAAATGCTTGCCATCAGCTCTGCCAAACTTAAACATATTGATGTTTTGTATAAATGGAGTATATGTGACTTGTTTGTTCTGTGTAACTAAGCTGTAACAAAGCTGTCTAATCGAACTCTAATACCCTTCTTTTTTTTACAGGGTGATGGAGTATATGTGACTGGTTTATTTATTGAAGGAGCTCGCTGGGATAGACCGACCCATGTCTTGGCTGAATCACAACCCAAGATCCTCTATGATACTCTGCCTATCGTATCCTTTGAGTTTGAATTGTCATTTTGCATTCTAGATGACAAATAAAGTTGAAGATTTCTGAAAAGTTTTGAATTACCAGGATGTCAAATTAAAATAATGAAGCTTATTATGTAATATATGTCAGGATATACACATGTATTTTTAATAACAACATTTGCAACTCCTGTATTTCCTTCTTAAGCTCCCAATTAAAACTAATGTAAAGGGTGAGCATTAATGGGTTTACTTTGGTATTCTGGTATTGAGCAATGTAGATACATTATTAGTTATTTAGTTTCAACATGCATGTTTATGAATATCCTTTACTTTATGTATAGTGTCCTTAATTCACATTCATTAGATATGGATCAAACCTATTGAGAAGTCCAACGTAAAGTCTACACCATCATACTCGTGTCCAGGTAAGTTTATGACAACTTTGTTTTCCTTTTATTTCTAATTTCCAAGAGACTAACAAAGTTCTTTTATTTTTGATTTGTTAATACATACAATTAGCACCTTCCATTATGTGGAAGAATTTGAAAGATTTTATTTTAGTAAAATGTTTTTAATTTTCCATGATCATATTTGTCCAACAAGTCTTTAACTTCTGTATTTCTTTTCTATTTTATTATAGTTTACAAGACGAGTGTCCGACGAGGAACATTGTCTACCACTGGGCACTCCACTAACTTTGTCTTTGAGATACAGCTTCCATCATCTCATCCTCCCAACCATTGGATCAACAGGGGTGTAGCTATGCTCTGTCAACTTGACAACTAGATCAACAGGGGTGTGGCCATGCTCTGTCAGCTTGACAACTAGATCAACAGGGGTGTGGCCATGCTCTGTCAGCTTAACAACTAGATCAACAAGGGTGTGGCCATGCTCTGTCAGCTAGACAACTAGATCAACAGGGTGTGGCCATGCAGTTGGCTTGACAACTAGATCAACAGGGGTGTGGCCATGCAGTTAGCTTGACAATTAGATCAAAAGGGGTGTGGCCATATTGTTGGCTTGACAACTAGATCAACAAGGGTGTAGCTTTGCTCTTTCAGCTGCGTTTGACAAGTAGATCAATAGGGGTGTGGCCATGCTCTGTCAGCTTGACAACTGGGTCAACAGAGGTGTACCCACGCGGTTGGCTTGGCAACTAGATCAACAGGGGTGTGGCCACCTAATTGGCTTGACAACTAGATCAACAGAGGTGTGCCCATGTGGTTGGCTTGGCAACTAGATCAAAAGGGGTGTGGCCATGCTCTGTCAGCTTGACAACTAGATCAACAAGGGGGTGTGGCCATGCTGTTGGCTTGACAACTAGATCAACAAGGGTTTCTAAGCTTTGCTTTATCAGTTTGACAACTATATCAATAGGCATGTGGCCTCTAAATCATATACTTGACACTCTGGAATACTTTTGAAAACATGACCATTTCTTATCGTGGCATCATGTGTTTTACTATTTATTTTTTCTGATGTTGGTTTTAACTAAAATATATCACCTTGACAAAAATGTAGCTTAACAAATGTGGACATTTGTATCAGGAATGCTATGCAAAATTATGTGTCTTAGCAATTGTTTTGTTTGTAAACAGTCCGTCCCATAACTGGTAAATAAATGTAATCATTCATTCAGTATATGAAATGAAAAAATATTTGCCTAATAATTGTGAGTTTGGTTATGAGAGTGCCTAAATACAGTTGTGGTGGGTATCCAGAATTATATGTCTTAAACTTCCTTGACTTTGAAGAATTTATTAAAACATATTACAATAATGTATTTGCTTTCACTTGTATGGATATTTTTCTGTCCGTTTGACATGATGGATTTGCTCATGAAACTGAACTAAATGTTAAACTACAGAAGAAAACTGTATAAGTTATAGCAGAAAATTATTTGAAGACTTTGAAAACGAGTGCAAACAATCAAGAATATTGTGTCTAGGGCTGTTTCAAAGCAATTTTGTGTTGTCTGGAAGGAGCTTATTGTACAATTTATTCCTTCCAATATATGATGCATTTCATTATTTCCCTAATCAGTAATGAATTTAGAGAATTAAACGTTTATCAGAACATGTTACTGCTTACTGGATTCGGTTTGGTATATTTTGAAAATGAATCATGGAAAAGGTCAAGTAAATATACATGTGTAAAAGTCAGTTCATCATTCTTTACTTTACATCATTAGATTCGGAAACGTACATCAGGAAATATATCATGCTTTTTTTCTAATTTTGTCCATGGAATCGCAACAATTGTAGTATGATTGTATATCAACCACATTCAATAAACTACAAGTCCATGATAATACATTTTGTAGTTAATGTACTTCTGTTTTGCATTATTTTTTATAAAATTGAATGTTTAAATTGAATGCCAGCTTTGGCTTTAAAGAATAGAGTCATAGAAGACAACTCAGTATGAACTGTCGAGAGGGTATTGCAATGGCAAGATTTCTATTAATGAATGTTATCAAATACATATGTCTTATATGTACTTTATGTTTGTTAATTTGGTATGCATTTTCATAAAGTTTAAATGAAACCAAGGGATGTAATGCATTTCATTGATGCAGAGAAAATTTATATTATTTCTTAGGGAGCAAAACAAGAGATGGAATTAAGTACTTCAGTTCAGTTCAGTTCAGTTCTATTTCCAAGTTAAAATTCACAAGTCATTGAACCAAATATTATATTTCTGAAAATGAGAACAAAATGTGAACGTTTTTGTTATAATCTGTAAACAAAATAAACAAGATTTGATATATACAATATCAAGGAATGTCATTCATCGCTGTTCTTTGTCCATTGTCAGTTTGCCTCCATATGACGTTACTTCTCATTTCTACAACAAAGTGTGTTCATTTTTCTTACTCACTGTTGTATTTCATGCAATAGGATTGTACATTTCTGAATGTAGAGCAGCATTGTACATTTCTCTAATACTCATTGTAAATAATTGATGTAAATTAGTGCATTTTATGATCTATATATATATATATATTTGTATATAAACATTTATCAGTATGATACATCATAAGATGTGAAGTGTATGCACTGTACTTTAAAATGATGATTATATGCGTTACCAAATAAATCTAGTTGTAAATAGTTTAGTACATTCACAATCATGTAAATAAATTTATCTATATAGCAATATATTCTTAAAATGCTGATTATCTTCAACTCTATGCATTGCACATGCTGCTTCCAATAATTGGACATACTTATAGAATACTTCTTTACATAATTTATACTCCCTGTTTGTAAGTTTGTAAGATGTAAGTTGTCTCATGTATGTTTGTATGTATGTATGTATGTCTCATGCTGTGGAAATACTTAAATTTTGCTGCTACACAAGTTGCAATCAAATATTCAAAATCGGCTATCAACATTATAGAAGCACTGTAATTCATTGATAATGGTAATATTCTATTTAATTTATTTGTTAAAAGTAAGAATGAAGAATTTGTAATTTGTCAGTGTACAGTTCATGACTAATGATCAAAGAGAAGATGTCTACATCTATAAACTGTTTGTACATTTTGTAAAAATACAACTTTTGGAGCAACCTTGAATATTTTCTTCTTAGAATTCATAAACCTGTACTTTTTCTTTTGATGCACATCACTAATATGCAGGAAATTCTACTGTCATAATGCGACTAGTAGTATGTATAGCTGTGTGTGTGGATCGATATACAACTGTATAATATAATAGAATGATTCTTTAGTGAACCCATAGTCATTTTTTCATATGTGTAAACTTGATAATTAGTAGTATAAATTGCCAAATTAGCCATGAAAACAAAAGCTAATATTTACATTCCAAAATATGCTACATTTTTACTTTGAGTTTGTGTTTTCTGTCTCTTACTGAATGTACATGGCTATTTTCTTGTTTTGTTTGTTCGTAGTTCGTTGTATCGTATCTAAATTGCATGTTACAAAAATCAATATTTTGATAAAATTATTTATGAAAGAATTATGAAAGGACAAATTGATTTAATTTATTGTACAGTTGATCATGAGAGTTGTATACATTCTTTACCCTTTGTAGATAATAAATATATCCTTTACATGATGTAAAACCATTTATCTTGATGTTGGAGTTATATGTATTGTGGTATGGTGAGACATTGAATCAAAGAATTTTACATTATACTAAACACAATTTTGATGAATGAGTTTAGATTGTACCATATGATCTGAAAGAAAGAAAGAAAAAAAAAAGTGGAGATAGACAAAGGGAAAGTAGGAGAGAGAGAGAGAGAGAGAGAGAGAGAATGCATGCTTATGATAGACAAATGAAGAATAATATCTTGGGTGCAATGAAGTAGGATAGAGGAGATTATCACAGGAAATAATTGCTCTGAACGAAATGGTACCTTTTCACATAATATACACTCAACCAAAATGGTAAGTCTCCCTTCCTGATACTTTTTAATGTAACATAAGGAATGTTTGATAAAATTTGTTCATATGAAATATTATCTGAATCAAACTTATAAATCAATTCCTGAAGATGATATCAAAGCATTTACATTTAGTTCAAATTATTTACAATTATTGTATGTTGTACAGGAAGAAGAAGAAAAAATAAAATTTAAAGTAAAATAGAAAATAAAAGCTAAAGAAAGAGCTAACAATGAAAACAAGAACAAAAACAACAATAAAACAAAGCTTATAATTTTCAAATGTAATACATAGTATATGCATTATTTTATTTACATAATTTATTTCTATCAAGTGAAATTGGATTTAAAAATGGATTTATATGTAGAAATAATAACCAAGTGGGCATTGACAAAAGACAAAGGTTGAAGTACTCGTTTCATAAAACATCAATACCACTGTTTGGGCAAATAAATAAGAAGTAAGTGTGTTAACGGTTAATGAATGCTAAAATATGAATTGTCATCACAAGTGAACTTGACATGTGGTTTGATCCAAGGCTAGGCTGTCAATTGAAACTATCATCTGGTTCACTCAAATATCAATAATAAATACCTTGGATTTGCCTATTTATGACTAGTAAATTTATTGCAGCCCACAAGAGAGAAGAAAATGATCTATTCCCCCCCCCCCCTCTCCCTTTGAACCCTTACCTCTTGCATTTACTGTACATTGCTAGGAACTCATTCCAGAAGAGCTAAGTTTTGTTCCAGTCAAGAAACAATGAATGTCATGTATCTTATCTTTGGAGAATACACATACTGAATAATATCATATGACCAACACGGAGACATGTTGATGATATGTGCAAGGTAAATACATCTACTATACCACTATATCTTACATATCAAACCTGGCAAAATATGTTTAGTATACACATTTCCATAACACCATCAAATATGAACCAATAATTCGCTTTTATACGCATATATTTCATTTGATAATCAACAAGCATGATTCACTTTATTAGCTGCTGCAATAATCCAAATGCACAGACACAACAAACATGCATTTACAGATTTCAAAGTCACTTCAAATGATCTAGTTGATTTTTTTAAAGGTTCAATTCATATTCTGACTGCTGTAGTGATGTGTGTGTATTAAATGCTAACGAATTGTAACATTAACATGTACGTCATCATTTTCAATCATGTGAATTTGTGGTGTAAAAACAAGAGTAGTGTTGATAATTATAATTTCTATTTGGGCAAAATAGACTCTATACATAAGAGTCTCCTGGTAAATACTGCTCATATACATTCAAATAGATACGTATGACATTTTAGCCGTTATTACAAGCATACAAATTTAGATTTCACTTGACTTCATAATACTTTTACCAACACAAATACATCTCAACAGCCAATATAACTTCTTGTTATAGAAAACTGCCGTGCTATAATATGTGCAGGCTGAATACAAGAAAATACAATGAATTTCAAATACTACATGAACATGAGCATTCTTTCAAAGTCATAATTTTCAAATTGGGGCTAATCGAGGGGCTAATCGAGGGGCAAATTCAAAATTATTTGATAGATCACATGAAAATGAAAGAGGAAAGTCTTAAGTTTAGCATTGGTACCAATTTTCATCAACAATAGTGGAGAAGTTTACTAATGAAAGCTTTTAAACAAAACCTTCAAAAAAATAAAATTTACTTTTTCTCCATTGCAAATGTCAAGTAATTCAGATGTCAATCGGTTTATGTCACAGTCATCTGTGCGGAGAGATTTTCAGCCGATTTGGTTTTATGGGACAAATTTGTGCTGTGTGCTTGCCCAACAATACAGCATGTGATGTTTTGTCCAATTGAAACTGAGTTGTCCAAATTCTGTATAGCAATGGCACTGGGTAATATGTTGCATTACAGTGGTATGATTAAGGTCTAATCTAATAATACCAAATTCACACTGTTATTCTCACATTTCTTTAACAGCTTTGTGTAATCTATTTCAAAATCACATTACTTGTACTTCCCAGACTTCTTTCGGATACCTCTCGATCGATTCTTCCTTCTTCTCCTATCGGGTTTACGATTCCTCTGCAGTCGTCCTAGTGAGGAGATACCTTGTCTTCGCTTGATGAGGGTGTGTTTCTCTACCAACGGCGCTAGTTTACCCTGCTCAGCTAGCATAGACAGGAATGTGAAGATGAATGGATCGTAGTTGTGGGTCCGTCGGTTGTCATCAATCTGCAGAAAATATAATTTCACATGTACTAGTTCATGATATTTCAACATTGCAGAGACTTAGAATGTTGATTATTAATTTTTACTGAAGTGGCAACAACTAACAAAAAAAATGTGTCACCATTAGAACAGAGATACACACAAACTACTACTTCGTCTTCTTTGGCTTCACAAGGATGTATCAAGGCAAATTTTGTGAACTGACAGACAGGGCCCCCATCTTAAAGGTAATACAAAGTTTTGGGAAATTTGAAAATTGGGTGGAAAGTGATTCTTTACAATTTTCATATATTTGGATTCCCCTGTAGATGTATTATAAGCACAAGAAAAAATAGCCCCTAAAACACTTCTCCTTTCGAGAAAAATTGAATATAAAAATTTACCGGTGCTCCCGGTAAATTTTGATAAATTTCAAATAGCGCCTACGGCCATACAATGGTAGCTGTGACCATGAAAATCTCAGAATATGTAGTTGTGATATATAATTTACAAACAGGAACAACTATTTGG